GATGACAGATGGGAAGCCTTCAGAGTACTTGAGTAGAAGCTTAGGAATAATTGCTTTGATGTGAAATTGTTAGATTTGATTTCATTTGTGTTTTTGAACAACATTCCTAAGCTAACATTCTCACTGCCTCTGATGAAGAAAAAGAAGTAGTACGAAATATTTTTTTTTAAGCTTTGGCTCTACACACTCACTATTAAATCTCTTGAAGTGTTAATGAAAATTACTTGCTCTTAAAATATTCATTACTTAAAATAAAGAAATCATTCAATTTTTTTGCAGATGCAAATGAGTGATTTGAGACTCGTATCCATTTACTTCTGCGAAGGATTTGACTGTGTGCCTATCCCAAAAAAATAAGTAAATAATTGAGCATATTTTTACTCTCTGGTTTTGCAGGCGTGGCAATGGCAGATTCTGCATGGTAGAATTCATGGCAAGTATTTGTCTAATATAAGGCAAGCAAGAGACACATACAAGCTTAAGGTAAATCAGTCTTTCTTAGTTGTGCTGCTTTGAAATAAATGTTTATACTTACACAGATTGTAAATACTAAATTTCACGCCTACTCAGAATTTCGTATCCCAATTGATCCAAATTGATCCAAATTGATTCTCATCTTTCAAAATTGGGACACCCTGAAATTATTTTCCCTCTGAATGTGGCAGTAGATGCTGCCAACGGTCATACGCACTGTGTGCTCTTGTATTATTCTTGTACAGAATAGCAACTGCAGTTGAGGATTTTTGTGGGGACACCTCCAATACTTCTTTCTTCCCTGGATTTGAGTCTCTTGTGTAATTGAAAGGGGAGAAGTGGGCAAGTGCCTTGATGGTGTTATAAAAGACTTACGTGGACGCAGAGCTGTGCAAACTGTGTCTGCACATGGAGGATTTTTCCCATCCATGTTTTTTTTTCTTGCCTTTAAAGACAAATGAGTAAAAGTGTTAGTATTTGGATCTTGTGGCTGAGATGTGGGTGAAGTTGTTAAAGTTTAGCTGGTATTGCTACTTCTAGAAGTAGGCTTAGCGGTTAAACTGAGAATATTGTTACTGGTTGCTGCACCTCAATATTTTACCCAAGAGAGGGCGTAAAACTCTGTGCTGCATTTGATAGATCTTCCCGTGGCATTTACAGTATCTATAAAGCAAAACGTGAATGAGGATTTTCTGAGTATTTTGGATCCTCATCTAAATATTAAATAAAATGGTGTCTTGCACATTCTGTATTTGCAACTCTTGAGATGTTTTAAGAGTTCCTTAATGCCATAATCTAGAAGGATATAGCAATTTTGAATCTTCTTTTGGTGATTCTTTTTTTTTATAAACAGACAAATGTTTTGTGGAAACTCTTGTATTAAAAAGTTGTTTATTAGCTTTTCAGCTGAGATTTTCAGCTCTAACCATGTGAAGATACTCGCTGACTCCTCCTGAGTAGATTCTGTCACTAGTTCTCAAAATACCTTTTCACAAAGAACACAGGATGATAATACTGTATAAATAGAATCTTCTAGGACCTTAAAGTGACTTGTCCAATGCTATTCAGTCCCATAATAATAGAACTCCTGTCTTCTAAGCCCCAGCCTCAGGGTTTCAACAGTAGAGCATAGGATTGTTTCTCATTCTCAAAGCGCGCCTCTTGATGCTTTTATTATGGGTTGTAGGACTATTGGTCGATCTTGGGGATATTTAAGCTGTAATGGGTATGGAACAGGCATTGCAGGTATGGTCTACATCCCAACTCTTATTTTATGATGTTCTGATTACAGTATCTTGAAGCATGTGATTTAAAATGTTTTCCTCTTCTTTGTGTGTGCCTTAATCTGTAGCGGTCCCAAAACGTGCACCTCTGCTATTCTTGATTCTGTTCTTCCTGTTACATCTTAGGTCGAACAGACTGGCGTTCTGACAGTCGAATGTGCTATTGTGACTAATTCAGCTGGTCTGCTCGCTGCCTGTACCGGCTGACCGGTGTGAGTGCTTGTGCTGGCAGCACCGAGGAGAACAGTTTGGGACAGCTCTGTCTGCAGAGGCACAGTGGCTGGGAGCTGTGCCCTTGCCCTGAGCAAGTAGCTTCTGGTGCCGAGAGGTGTGGGTGATGTGGAGATTGCGGCAGCAGAAAGGGAGCATTTCTCAGGTGAAAAGGCCTGGCAGCTTCCTTGGTAAGGTTTTGGCACCGTGGAAGTCCACCACTGCTCTCTCCCAAAGGGACACGGATCTGGGGATCTGGCCTGGCAGGGACTGAAACTTCACCTGACCTGTATGGGCCTCTCTTTCCATAATCTGATTTATCTAGTGCACTTGCTCTTCCGCTCTTAGATGCATTGTTATTTCCCTCCTGCACCTACTCCACAGAAATAGTTATTTTCATATTTCCAAATTTTTATTATTGGCTGTATTGATACTTAACAGTACATAAATCCACAGGGAGTCCAGACTGAGTGTTGGTTTATGTGAGAGACTGTTGATGCCAGGATATATGTGAGGTTGAGCTGTGTGGTCTATTTTATACATTGGCCTCTTTAATTGTCAATAGCAATATTGACATCCCACAGACATTAATTCCTGGAAAGCCTAATGAGAAATCGGGACTAACTGGTCTAGACAAGTGCTGTGACAGTAATTCCATTGATCAGAAACCCTTCACTGGTCCAGTATTTTCTTACAGATGGGCCTGGATGCTGGTGAGACCAAAGTTTTGCCTCCAGGTCTCCAAGCGGTACCAGCAGATTTAATTGGCTCATATCCCTTGTCTAGCACTTTGTGGCTACAGGCACTTGTTTTCATTACCAGCTGCAGTTCTATTTATATTATATTGCATACCAGAAGTCACAGCTATTCATCCGTGAGATGGTATTTTGTCACCCTTGGATGTGACAGGGCTAAAAGCATTTAAATATTAAACCTTCGTTTTCCTACGTGGAATTGTCAGGTGGTGTTATAGCTCCTCCCAGCTTTGCGCGGAAGTTAGAAGTCACATGTGTGCCCTTCAGTTTTGGGGCAGCTTCAGGAAGAATCTTCTTGGCAAAAGCTGTGATGTGATGTCCCAATTTACACCTGTTAATTGTTTTGCTGTCCCCACCAAGAACCTCCCCTTGTGCTGCTCTGACAGCAGTTCTCCGTCGGCGTCTGCTGCTGGGCTGGGGTGAGTCTCGGGTTCGCACGGGAGCTTTCTGCCCTCTCAGGTAACGGCAGAACCTGCTGCTGCGCCACGCCGGTTGTGAGCAGCGTGCCAGCTGTGCCTCCTTCGGTCCGAGGCGTCCAAGACCTGGTGTTTTTCTGAGAAACTGTCGGTTTCTTTGGCCTTTGGGCCAGGTTTGTCTGATGTATAAACTGGATGAAGCGTTTGGCATATTTATGTTCTGCATGCAGTTAAATGAACCATACAAAGAGAATTTTGTTTTGAGAAACATTTATGATGTAAGGCATTCTCTCAGGTGTTCCCCATGGGATTGGCAGGTTTGCTGCTTGCTTTTTAAAGTTTTTCTTGTCTTGGATTCTGCCTGTGATTCAATGAGGCGTATGTCTTTTTTCCCAAAGATATCCAAGAGTAATGGGTTCCTCTGGCTACCTTAGCTGTACTTTTGGTTTCTTTGAAGTTTTAAAATTAATTCTGTAGAGTGCTAGAGTTAGGTGTGACAAAGGAATATTACATTAAAAAGTCATTTACCGGTATATTCTTAAGCATTTACAAGGTCAGTGAGCTGTGTTTTTCATTTTTCTCTGAAAGTCAGTTGTCACAGAAATATAACTTGGCGACGAAGTGACAACTTTCCTGGGGCTGAAATATCTGGCAAAGATTGGGCTGAAGAGCAAGAAGACAAAAATTTTTGTGTTACATGCTACTTTGAAGCTAGGTCTGTTAGCAGGAATCTTTGGTTGTAAACAATTAACCTTTAATTAAACTTCAAAAAAGCAAAGGAGTGTGGGTGAGGTGGAAGGAGGTATCCTTAGGTAACGTATTTGCCTCAATCACTAGTAGGAGCTTCATAATTCAGAATGTTATGGTGAAACAGAACAAAAATAAGTATGTAAAGTGTTCCCTGGCCATTAGTCATTTTTCAGTGATATTCTAGAAAAGATAAATTCATAATTTTGAAAATACATATTTCAGATAACTGGGTTGTGTTTCTCAGAATTCATGGATTGATTTTTGTTCTTAACTAGTGTTGGAAGAAAACTGTTTTTTGTTGTTGAGTTTAGAGTTATGTGTTCCTTTAGAGGGTATAATACTGTGTTAAGTCAGTTAACAATTAAGAAGAAATTAGAATAATTAGTGTAGGTCTGCAAAATAACACAGGAGAAAGCAGAGAATTTAAAAACAAACAAACAAAAAAACCCCAAACACCACAAACACCTGAGTTTGGGTTGTGGGTCAGTTACTGAATGTTTGAAGAGAGAACCCTGATTCAGAGTAGCTACAGGTGCTGGTACGCAAAGTCTGCGTGGTTCCTGGTCGATGATTTGCTTTAGATGTAGAAATAACATTCTTTTTCCGTGTGTTGTTAGTTCTCCGTGTTCCCTAATTCAGAGCTTTTTCATACATTTCCGTCTGTGCGATCTTACATTAGAGTTCCCATCCGCAGTTTCGTTGTCATCCGTTAGTGGTGCTGCTGTCAAAGTGATCTAATACAGGAGGTCAGGATTGTGGGTACTGCTTTTGGTAACTCCTTCTGTCATGAGAGCCAGAAAGTGAGACAGGTAGGATAAGTCCCCTGAATGTCACTAGAGGGCTACGAGGCTTCTGGTTTTGGCTGTGTTTTCTTTGCAGTCTTTTCTTTTGCACCCTTTCATTTATTCTCGGTATTTTTCAAATGTGCAACTTCGGTTTTGAGTCTGATGAGGGTTGTCACCACCTGATTGCTTCTGTTATTTGAAGTGTGCTGTACTTTCACAGTCCTCAGTGTTTTACAAGATGGAGTTCATGTTGCAATGATTATTATCATTACCTGATTTTAACTCTGGAGTACTCAGTCTTTTTTTTTTTTCTTCATCTTTCAGAGTGAAGACTGGAACAGCTCGGAGCAGGTGCGTAGCTGCAGGTATGAACCAGCTACACAGTTTGTACCTCTCAGTTGCGTATTGGAGCTTCCTCTCAAATGTTTAGAGAGAAGTTGTGTTTCCTTTTAGTGATGAAAGTGGTCTTTTTCCACTGCAGCGAGGAGTGTGTCCTGAACCTTAAACTCCTCGTAGTTTCCTGCCTTTGTACTGCTAAAGGGGGTTGGGAACGTTGATGACGTGGGACTGTGGGTACCAAGTCAATAGGCTTCTTTAGATCCATCTGTAATTCAATAACATGAGAAACAAACTAAGTACAAAGTGGAAAAGTGTGTGTTCGTAACAAGTTCTTGACTAGAAAAAATCTGAAATACTCAGTAGTACGTGGAACTCTAAAGGTGAGTGTTAGTGGACCAACTTCCAATGGCCTGAGACAGATTTTTTTGACGTGCAGCAGGACAGGAGCACAGTCCAGTGTAAAAACGCTTGGAGCCAAATGCAAAGATCCTCTGGTGCAGTTTTCGTAACGCCCGAGGTGCAGTAAGGGCGTAGTTTGGTGAGACTGTTCCCCCTTCCTCTCTCGCTTGATGTCCAGGTGAGCAGACCCGTGTCCCTTGGTTACGCTCGGTTCTCATGGTAGTTTGGCTGCGTGGTAGACAAAGTCAGTGTGACAACCCAGTACAAGGCTCTTTCCTACTCAAGTTGTTGTTTCTCTGGCTTAGCAAGCTGGGATGATTTCCTGCGTGGTCAGAGGGGTCCCACAAGAACAGATCAGGCTGGCTGTAGTACCTTGAGAGTTTCGGTTCGCTCCTGAGGATATTTTACCTGTGTTAAGTAACACAACGGGGTGATTGTTGTTCTTCTGATGTATTGCCTCTGCTAGGCAGAAATATTTAAGGTTTGCTTTAGTCTGTAGGCATCCAGGGAGAGGCGAGTTTTAATATTATCTCGAGGAAACACTTGGTTTATGCTGTGGTCAGACATTTACTAGTTTTCCTAAGTATGCTGGAAGGGATTTAGTCATGTCTCTGACAGAAAGAGAATCAAATTTGTCTTTTAAGGTGTAGGATATCCTGTCTCTCCACATGTTACTCATCAGGGTATGAAGAGCTAAAGCTGGATTAAGAAATCCAGGAACACCTTCATTTTCTGGTGGTTATTTTAGAGAATTGGTGAGTGACCTCTGTGTTTGGAAGTACTGGTTTGAGGACATCGGTCTCCAGGTGTCGGGGTGTTGCAAAACACTCAGCTTCTTTCCTAAATGATGGGGGCTCTGTGCTTTGCTCTCTCTGCTCCTTTGCTGCTCAATTAAGACCATTCAGAAGATATGAAAGAGAGAATATTGGTCATTATATTTGTGGGTTTGTCCCCAGAGTTTCTGTCTTCTGAGACAGACTAATCTGTGATTAGACCTAGTTTTTCAAACCAATGGGATCCGACCAATTATAAAACACAGGCCCAGAATCAATAGTTTTGGATTACTTGAATAACAAACTAAATCAAGTTTATGGTTGCTGAAAATCAGTCATGAAATGGAACACTTCCACTTGGTGCAAGATGCAGCGTTTCTCAAGAGCAACATGAAGCTGAATTCATCTTTAATGAGCGTACAAACATATCTGGTCTTAGCTTTTCCTGAAGTTAAAACCTCCTGTAGTGTTTGATGGTTGTTTAAACCTTGTTAAGGAGGAAACTTTTAGATGGGTGTGGTGTATTTCCTTAGGTGATAGGAAGACTCAGGCACATACATCATACTGTTTCTCTTTTGATTCCAGAGGCTGGGAAAGTTTAGATATTTTTCAGAAACCTACTCTCTGACATATTGACTGTGGTCCTGCAGGCGTAACTTAAAAGCTAGTGAAGTTTTCTAGGTGACTGCTTGTCCAAAATACGCTGCAGGAGTTTTGGATTTGATTAGGAGACAAAATAACACCTTCCTAAATCAATGACATACTTTTTTTGTGTCTCCTCGGCTGAATTCAGCCAATAAACAAAAAGAGAGACAAGGTGCCCGGGGAGGGGAGGAACCCTCAAATTCTCCTACTGCCTTAAGTGTTCCATCCTGTTTCCTTTTAGTAGTTCTCCATTCTTTCACAGGATACAAATGCGTCTCCTCACTTCTTACACTGTCATTTCCTGCCTTGTCTCCTGTTCCGTGTGGTACCGCTGCCTTTATTTCCTCTTACTATTGTTGTTGCCAAGCCACTTTTCCTACTTTAAAGATTTTTTTTCTCTATCTAGAGTGCCAAAGTGTATGCAAGTGTATGCAAGTCTTTCAATCTCTCTTAGTCCTTAAGATTTCTGTAGTTCCTCTTGCAAAATATAAGCTTTGTGGTGTTCTAGCACAGTGATAAAAAAAAAACGCAAAACGCCTCCCAGACTGTATCTGCTGGAATGTTGGCAGATGTTTAAAAGAAAAAAAAAAACAGCTGAATTTTCTTTTCCATACTTTTCTGTGGAGCTTAAGTAGTATCTAAAATACAAATTTCACATCTATTCACAAAAAACTCTCCCACAGCCAACAGATAAGGATAAAGGGATTGCATTTTTATGAGTTTTTGTTGTTGTTTTTAGTGTTTATACGTCTTCATGGAATGAGGGGAAGAAACCTATAGGCTTCCGCTTTAAAAGCAGTTGCCCTGGGATTCATAAATCAGTGCTTCTTCCTCGTATCAAGTATTGTGAAATGTCTTGCAAAGAGGGATAAACTTATGACGATTACTCCTTGCTTTGATTTGCCAAAATTAATTATTCTAGAGAGCCTGCAGTAAGGCTTGTTGTTATCTGTTCTGCAGGTACAGATGCGCTAATAGGTTGTCGTGCATTAATTGCTCCAAATTCATGATTTAGTCTTTTGGCAATTTGTTTTGGTGTGGTGTTTGTTTTTTCTTTAATTCGCTGCTCCTACCAAGAAATAGCTGATAACGGTGATGTTTTTTTTCTCCTTACCCTCTCTCTATTCCCTTAGTCTGAAAAAAAGGAAATATGCAAGATAAAGAAACAAAGTTTAGCTGGGGAAGATGGAAATTGAATATAAGTTTCACATCGCTATTCTGAAGGTCACAGTTGCATACTTTGCAAAAGTGAAATCTAAACCTTGCAAAAGAAAATGTTTTACACTGTAAGGGAGAGACAACAATCCCGATAGCTCTCATTATATTTCTGTGAAGATTAATGGAAGTGTTTAATGTGTCTTTAGGGAACAGGTATAACGATATAATTAAACACCAAAGAGAAGATGGAGCTTTTAGGAAAATATCTTATTTATTTATTTCACTTTGCTAACATATGTTATCCTGATGTGGCACAGATACTCTCCTTGAAAACAGGGTGGCCAGAGACACGGGCTGCCTTTGGAAAAATCCAGGTACATACTAGCGCAAGCTGGCTGTCACTCTGTAAGTGGCACTATTGCAAACTGTGATATTTGAAGTTCTTGGGAGTTTCTGCCTGTGTGTAAAAAATAATTAAATAGATATGGATTCTGGAAATAACAGTTGTGATAAAACTCAGAAGAGCGTAAAAAATATTTGAGTAATCTCAAACCAGAGAGCTCTGGAGGCTTATCAGCTTGTTGTCGTAGGGTTGTGAGAAATTTTATGGGTGTTTGAGGTGATTTTCAGAAGGGTTCCCTCTTAGCTGTTTCGAATTTGCCCAAAGAAGAGAGGTACCTGTATATGTTTCTTGTCTTGTCTTTTTGTATGCTCCACTGTTTAGAATTCATTAAAATAACAAATTTGTTCACTTTGGTGCAAAGCTTATCTCCTTTTCCAGAAAAAGAACTCAGTTCCCTCATTTTAGAAAACAGAGGGTTTTTATAATTTACTTTGGATCATTTGTCTTTACTGTCAAATAAAAGGGTAAGTTTAACTGCTTCCCATTCTAAGAGTGCTTAAGCAGAGGAAATGTTGTCCTGTCATCCAGAAGGATGGAGGTGACTTGCCATTTCATCTGCTGACAGAGAAATGAGAATCCTGGGGGTTCTTCAGTCAGACAGAAGCTCAGAATTCATTCCTTTTGAGCTTTTGCAGAATTGATGGGAATAGAAGCTACAGGTAAACAGGACTTCATTCATGAAGTAGATGATTTACCTCAGATTTTTTTTTTCTCAGAAATATTTTGGGGGAAAAAAAAAGGCAGCTTATTATAAGCTATTTTTATTCTAAAATTTACTATGAAAATCCATCTAGGTCGGGGGGAGTATGGAGGAATTGGAGATTTTCAGATAAATGCCTATTTCTGAGATAAACCAGTTGTCACCCACTCCTTATCCTCTTTCTCCACCCAGGAACTTCCGCGAAAATTTTGTATAATTAGAAAATATTTTTCAGTTAATTTAATCTGAAATGTAGGCAGCCCAAAACTTCGTGTGTTGTGATGGCAAATTCAACGCTGTGAGTGTGTCAGTTTTGTCACTTGACGGCGCGTAAGCGGCGCGGAGACTGGCAGAGGAAGAAGCTGCAGTTCTGGCAGCTGGGTCAGGGGCTTTGATACTCAGCGGTTTGGATTTCGTTACCGGCAGAAAACATTCTGAGCACGTGCTTACACGATCAGAGTGAAACCACAAAATATGGACAAGTCCTTACTGTGTTTTGACGCGTGTAACCTGGGGGTGACCTGCTGATAAACGGAACTGCGATTCAGCAAGGCTGCCGGGCTCTGGATGTGCACAGATATAATACAAGGGGAAGTTTATTCTAGGACCTGTCTCCTTCACAGCTTCGCGGTGCCGCCCAACCTGCGTCCTTTCCCAGAGTTCGCGCTTGCCGTCGCAGTAGTCCCTCAGCTTCACATTCCTATATCTTGTCTGAGGTTCAGACTGTATAAAATAAAAGGTGGTGTTATCTTTAACTCTTTTTTTTTTCCTTGTTGAAATGGGCAAGGCTTTCTTAGGGAAGGAAGTAGCTTTTTGGTTTGGTGGTTTGGGCTTTTTTTCTCATTGTGGGGTTTTGATGTAGGTTGGTTTTTTGTTTTGGTTGTTTTTTTTTCAGTTTTGTGACCCAGGCTGTATTGTCATTCTGTAAAGTTAAAAATAATAGCAAAACTTTTAACATTTACACTCGACGGTCTCTGAGGGATATATTCTGCAGCATAATCTAGGGCTTCAGAAGTGTCAGAACCTGAGGTTTATAAACTGTAACATGTAGAAGTTTTTAATGTCCGTATTGTCAGATTAGCAGCACATTTGACTGTGTGTAGCTACAGTCCATAGAGCTTGGAATTTCCGACATTGTTTCTATTATCCTTTGAACAGAAAC